ATATTACTTTAACAAAGAGATAGATTAATATAGCAGATATTTGCTGCCATCTAGTGGAAAAACAGGACATATTTCACTGACGATGGCTATTACAAAAAGTTGATTCAGTTGGCTATGTTGTGTCCAAATGAACAGAATCAGCTTTTTGGGATTTCCTTACCTGGGATGATTCAGCATGCATCAAGACTAACAATGGCTGCTTTTCTTTTTTGGTCATCATTTCCTTTATTGCACTATCTTCATAGCTGTATGTGTACAGTACCCGTGGAACCACACACCTTTCTTTTGACAAGGATGTACGAAATAGAGATTTTATCTATTCTGGGAATGTAGAGGCACTACAATGATTTTATAATTATGGTAAATGGACTGGTCCTTACATAGCGCTTTTCTACTCTTCTGAGCACTCAAAGCACTTTAGACAACCTGCACATTCACCCAAGTACATTTTCTTAGTGCTTTCTAACTAACATTCACACACACATTCATACTCCGATGGATGCATTGGAGAGCAATTTGGGGTTAGTATCTTACCCAAGGATATTTGGCATGCAGACTAGGGGAAGCCAGGAATCGAACCACCAATCAATAGATGACCTGCTCTACCGCCTGAGCTATAGCCACCCACAATTAAATGATGCCTCACAGCAAGAAAGTCGTACGTTCGTATCCACTTGATGGCTGAGGTCTTTCTATGTGGAGTTTTCATGCTCTCTCTGTGCCTGTGCAGGTTCAGGACAGACAAAAGACCAGCTTTTCCATCATTTCCAGTCTTTGTGTTAAGTTAAGCTACTCAGGTGTTGATGGTAGCTTAATATTTACCATACAGACATGAGATTGGTATGGATCACTTCACCTAACAGCCAAGACGAAAAAACAAACAAACCCCAAAACAAAACAAAAAAAGGGTGTCCTTTTACTCATATTGTTTCATGCTTTGAATGTCCATGCAGAAAATCCCTTTATCCCTGTCCTACATGTTGAGACAATGTCCCACATTGTGATTCACTTTAACTGAACAATTGTGAACACCTGACTCTCTCTAGAAGCATGTGGTCGAAAAAGAGATGTGCTGATTGATAGTGTGGAAGATGATTACCAGAGTTTGATCTGTTAAAGCTCTACATAAAGGGCTCAGTGCTAACGGTGGTTAGCACTGTTGCTATCACTGCTGCCTCACAGGAACGAGGTCCTCGGTTCAAATCTGCCATGTGGAAGGGGCCTCGCTGTGTGGAGTTTACAAGTTCTCCACCTAGCAGCATGGGTTCACTCCAGCCTCCTCCCACAGTCCAAAAACATTCAGTTAGTGGGGCTAAGTTAATTGCTGATTCTAAAACATCTGTCTGTGTGTTAACCCTGTGGCAGACTGGGCTCCAGGACAGCTGGGATAGGCTCCAGGCCCCTGTGACCCTGAACTGTATAAGTGGAAGATAATGGATGGATGGAATATAGTACAAAGACTATGGCTTGAGACTATACATACTTTAGCTCATATGTGCTTATTGCAATCAGATAAATTACAGCATATTCGTTTTCCCTATACTTAAACTCTAACCTGTATAACTTTTGTGAGATTTTAGCCAAACATTTATCAAAATTTCAGACCACACACACCACTCCATTATGGCACAACCACACTCTTTGACCCTCATCTAGTTTATTGGGCTCTGGCCTTCCTGCTCACATATGGGCCATGTTTGCCATTACAGTTGCAGAGCTCATTTCATGAATGCACTCCCAGGCTGTGCACACAACAAAGGAGGCCAGCTCTTCCTCATAAGCCAAAAGATGTGTAGTGTGTAATGCAGAGTATCATTCATCATCGTCTACACGCTTCCCTGCCCCCTCTCGCACACACACACACACACACACACATACACACACACACAAACATGGCGGCCTCTATTTCACCGCTACGCTCCTCCTTCAGGATTTGTAGCCCGTTAACGTTACACCATCACTGCTGCCGGGCCAAACTGCGGATGCACAGAAAATGCGAGAGTCAAAAGAGACATCTACACGAGTCGGCGACGAGGTAAAACGCAGCACGTCTAAAAGAACGCTGGTTTTTCTTTTATTATACGGCATTACTTTGCGCAGGGCTGAGCGACGCTTCAGGTCCGGCGAAGGCGTGCGCAGCGTCACGTGTCGGTGGGTGGTGATTGACAGCCTGTTTCGCCGTTCACGAAACCTGCGAGTGTAGATTACGGTACAAATTGCAACCATATTTAAAGGGACTATTTTTTCAAAAGACGTGACAGAGTTACATAACCGTCTCACAGCCTCGCCGGCTAAACACAACGCGCTCTATGCAATGTGGACTGTAGCTGATGGAGAGGGCTGTCACCTATGGTTATACCATATTTAGCATATTTATAGCACATTTAAGAACACATAAAATTGTGGTCCCTAAATCAGACGCCTTAATAAAATGGCCTGGACACTTGAGAACAAATTGCTATTAGTGAATATGAGCCTCTTTTTACCTTCAGATCTACTCTAATTCTTCCTGGCACAGATTCAAAAAAGTGTCAAAACAATAAGTAGAGATTTTGCTTCATATTGACCGGAGAACATCACAGAGTTGCTGCACATCCATTATGCAACACTCCTCATCTCAAAGTTGCATTATTGGACTGAAAGCAGTGACTGTGGAGGCTATCTGGCTATCTGAGCACTGACTCACTGTCATGTTCAAGAAACCAGTTTGAGATGATTAAAGGGTAGTTACGGATGTACATAGTCGGCAACAATGCTCTGGTTGGCTGTGGTGTTTAAAGAATATTCAGTTGGTATTAAGAGGGCAAAGTTTGTCAAGGAAATATCCCTCACACCTTTACATCACCGGAAGCATTCTGAACTGTTGAGACGAGGCAGGATGGATGCATGCTTTAGTGTTGTTTATGCCAGGTTCTGACCCTACCATCGACTGTTTTCAATCTACAGTTGTCCAATTTTGGTGAGCCAGTGTGAATTTCAGCCTCAGTTTCCTCATCTTAGCTACAGGAGAGAAACCGGCTGTGGTCTTATAAGCTATGTTACCGGAAGTATTCACTCACTTAGCCAAATTACTAAATTCAGGTGTCCCTATCACTTTTGTGGCGACAGGGGTATAAAATG